TACACACACACACACACACACACACACACACACATACTTACACTCTTACACACACACACACACAAACACACGCATACTCACACTCATTCATTCACTCACGCGCACACACACACACACACACACATACTTACACTCTTACACACACACACACACAAACACACACATACTCACACTCACTCACGCACACACATACACACACACACATACTCACACACACTCACTCATTCACACATGCACACACACACACTCGCACACACACACACAAACACACACATACTCACACTCACTCACGCACACACATACACACACACACATACTCACACACACTCACTCATTCACACATGCACACACACACACTCGCACACGCACACACAAACAAACACACACATACTCACACACACACACTCACTCACGCACACACACACACTTACTCGCACACGCAGACTCTCACACACGCACACACTCGCACACACACAAAAACACACATACTCACACTCACACACACACGCACGCAGAAAGCACACACTCACACACACGCAAACACACGCAAACTGTGTGTGTGTGTATTAGTGTGTGTGTGTGTGTGTGTATTATGTGTGAAATGACTCACCTTCACCGAGTGCCGATCCTCCGGTGAGTTTACCGTGAGTTTACCGGAGGACTCGGGCGGGGGCGCTGCGGCTCTCCGACTTTCACTCTATATTTACACGCAGACTTTGACGGAATTTGACGTTATTTCTCCGTTATCCGCGCGGGTGAGTGCCGGAGCCGCGGAGAGAAAGTGCGCCCGATCGCCCGGTGCTGTCGGTGACGGAGCTCCTCGGCCGCCGGAGGCTCGCTCGGCGTGTTTTGGGGCCGATGAGGGTGTTTTTAGGGAGAAGAAAAGGAAAAATAAAGAGCAAAAAGTCGCCGCTGGCCGCGGTGTCTGCGCGCGCCCCCGCCCCGACGGTCCAGCGAGTGACGTCACGACGGCGAACCGGACACCGGGCGGAGCCTCGAGCACACGGAGACAGTCACGTGTCCACAGCCATGCTTTACTCAGCAGAAATAGGCCTAGGATATAAAGTTATTTTAAATTGTAATAATATTATATTAATATTGCTGTTTTATATAAGAAGCGATAGTACACTTTTTCTTAATTCTGTCTATTTTCCACACGTTAGATTAATAGTGAAGTGAAAAAAACACATTTTCAAACACCGCTGAAGGAGCTTTGCTCCAACATGCATTTGAAGAAAAAAACAAACATTTGATATTCATTTTATAGTAATCTAAAAACAATTACTGGAAGCGTTTGACCAGAAGCATGTCACCAAACAGATTCAGTCAAATGTGTTGTTGTCTTTTATTTAATTGCACGAAATTCAAGAACAAACCTTAATAGCGTGTTTCTACAGTGTGCAGTGTTCGTGGTGACAGTATTTATACAAATCGAAAAAACGAAACAAAACTAATTAATTAATGAACATTTTAACAAAGTCAGATGTGTCCAGCTGTATGAGCAGAGTAGCGCCGGGTGTAGTCTGAACATTCCTCACAGAGTGTGTTTATGATCATGATTTTACTGTAGAGGCGCATGAGAGTCACATGCTGCGACACACCGGTGTGTGTGTGTGTCTGTGTGTGTGTCTGTGTGTGTGTGTGAGAGAGA